ATCAAGCGTTCAAAAAACCCTAACCCGACTAAGTAGACGACTCCTGCTTTCCTTATATTTCAGATTTCCCCCTGAAAGTCATAGAAACCCAGCGACCATAACATTCTGCTCATACACACCCATCTCTCATATCATGTATTGAGCACAGTACTTCCAAACTTAGTTTCGTGTTTTCAAACAAGACAAATAGTTTCTTCGTGAAGCACGGCCTCTCAGCGATTGGGAAGCACAACCGGGTAATTGGTTGATTTCAAATAATTCCTTTGTATACATTGGCAGTTTCGCTATCGACGCATTGACCCAAGAAGTCCGGGAGATCTCTGTCCTTTTCGCAAGTGCGATTTGAACGACTGCTTCTAGATGGTGGAAGAATAGGCTGAGAAGACGCAGCCGAGAGACATTCCAGATGCAACCTCGTTCTACACGACGCTCAAAAGTAGCCACGGCATTCACGTGCTCTAATTCGAGATGCAGGTGTTGCGTAATGACTGACTGATTGGTTGCTCCGATCGTTCCCTATTGGGGCAGAACAAAGGCTTCAGTAACACAATATTACTAAGGATTAAAATTGGAAAACTTCGCAAAATGCGGGGAAAAGAATCACGAGAAACAAATCGTGTTTGAGTGTATGCTTTTCCATCAAAAGTCTCCAAAATTTATATTAAGCGGAAACATAGCAACAGGGAGGCCTAAAAGGACATATAAGATTCTGACGAATCCATTACTTTTTTATGCATAACATTTAAACGATCAGATCTGAGTCCACTCATTCGAAATTTGCGTTTATAATAATGAGTCAGGAACACTTACACCTGAATACTCATACAAGATTTATCAATAAACATACCCAAAGCTCCAAATTATATGCAACAGCTTCAAATTGAATAGTACAGGTAATGTCTGTATTCAGCATAGGATGGGTGTCCTCAGGTTTACAATCGTCCATGAGAGGATCTTTGGAAGGATCTATTGTGAACCGTGTGAATGTATCACCTTTATGATAAAAATCCAAACGGAGTGACGAAATATGGCGTAGTAGGTGCTGCATGTCTGTGCCGTCATTTTTGCAGTCCAATTCCTCTACAAGCGAGTAGACTATGATTTTGCAACTAAATACATGACACGCTGCAAGTAATGAAACTTTAACTTAATAAATCACAGATGAGTGACCACAGTGCTTAACGGCGGAGAAATAAAGTAATGAAAACCAGGACCCGAATATCTGCCGAGAACAATGGTTTCAGGTGTATTCGTAATGCAAGCGACCCACAGTGACGGCCTTCAGAACATCTTCTGTTGACTCACAAGCTCGTAACTCAGGAACCTTACGCCATTTGGCATAAAACACAGGTATTTTATGAATTCAAGAGGTCATATAAGTATATTCTATGTTTAGTGAGTGACTGTGTCCGGGACAGCGTACGGTATTGCCTATTGCTTTTGCAGTGCTGTCAAAAACCCTAGAAATTCGGCTTCTAATAAAGACTTCAGAAATCAAGTGAGTTCTCGTAGAATGCTTGCCATTTCTTGGCATTACATGGAATTGATTGTTAGTAATTATTAGAAAAGCTGAAAATAACTCTTCACGTAAGCTTTAACAAATGCTGTGGTTAGTCAAGTATGGGCTAGTTTTCCAATGTTTCTTAAGCATCATAAGTGAGAAAGCTTGATATTATTTGCATTGTTTTGAATGGTCCACCTATTTCTAAGTTTGAGTCATCCGTAGATAGCCCATCTTCCTGGTTTAATTTTATGTCCCGCACACGTGTGCGTGTGTGTGACTGCGCTTTTCCAGGAGGTGTGGCGTCAAGGTAGTCTCGCCAGATTTTAAAGACGCAACCATCGTGCACCTATGCAAGCTGGAAGGAAACCGCCAGCTCTGCGAAAACCCCCGAGGCATCTCCTTGCTGAACATAGCTGGGACAAAATCACCGATCGTATCCTCCTCAATCGCCTGAATAATCACCTAGAACAGAGTCTTCTGCCGGAAAGCTAGTGCGGTTTCCGCCATCATCGCGGGACCGAGGATATGATCTTCGCCGCCCGTCAACTTCAGGAGCAGTGCCAAGAGATGCGGACCCATCTGTACTCTACCTTCGTGAATCTGACGAAATACTTCGGCACGGCGAATCCTAAAAGACTGTGGAAGACCATGCAGACATTCGGCTGTCCCGAGCGATTCATTCAGATGGTGTGTCAGCTCCACGACGGCATGATGGCGCGAGTCACGGACAACGAAGCCGTCTAAGAGGCATTTTCGGTGACCAAAGGAATGAAGCAGGGATGCATCCTGGAGCACTTTCAATCGCGCGTATCCACAACCACAGTTCACGAACTTCTCTTCACCGATGACTGCGGCCTCAACACCACCTCGGAAGAGGACACGCAAAGTAGCATGGCCCTCTTCTCCGCCGCCTGCGAGAACTTCGGTCTGATCATCAACATGGAGAAGACGGTGGTCATGCATCAACCGCCACCAAACGCAACTCTTCCCCACAATGCGCCACAAGTTAGCATGAACAGGACCCGACTGCAAGTGGTGGACAACTTCCCGTACCTGGGCAGTACCCCCCACCACAGCACGAAAATCGATGACGAAATTGCCCGCAGGATCTCAAAGGCCAGTCAGGCCTTCGGCCGCCTTCAAAGCACAGTTTGGAATCGTCATGGTCTCCAGCTCAGCAAGAAGCTTAAGATGTGCACGGCCGTCACCCTTACGACGCTGTTGCACGGAGCAGACTTGAACTGTGTACACGAAGCAGGCATGCTGACTCAACCACTTCCACCTCAGCTGTCTTCGTCGCATCCTGAGGCTGAAATGGCGGGATCGAATCCCCGACACGGATGTACTAGAGGGAACTGGAATCTTCAGCAGCCAAACCATGCTGAGACAACTGCAGCTGCGCTAGAGCGGCTACCTCGTGCGGATGGATGACGAGCGTCTACCCAAACGAATCTTCTACGGAGACGTCGCCAAGGGGTCCCGCCGTCAGGAAGGCTAAATTTGCCGCTACAATGATACTCTGAAGTCCTCCCTGAAATGTCTGGAAATTAACCCGACCAACTGGGAAGACCTCGCCCGCAATCGACCGACCGACCTGGAGAAGTTCAGTGAAGACAGGTGCTACGATCTGCGAAGCCAACCGCATCACGGCTGCCAAAGCCAAACGTGAAGCACGCAAGTCCCAGCTGCGCCCACCTCGCAATGCTAACGCACAACCTCCTCCAATGTGTCCTCGGTGTCAACGTACATTCCGGGCATGAATTGGGCTTGTTGGACACCTCCAGCTCAACCACACCACTCGGACCGTACCAACCGTCGTCCTTCCGCCCAACATTT